CTCAACGGCTCCCCTACAACCAAGGGCTCCAATCCCATCAAGGGCTCCATTCACCTCAACGGCTCCCATCCCCCCCCCCGAACCCACCACACCTACTTTTAACGCTTTAAACGTCAGATCCAGTCCATAAAGAAAATAAATTTAAAAAACAGGAACAAATCAACAAAACAGAATCATATTTGCAATTGAGTAATTTTTGAGCAACTCCAGCATTGGTGATTAATTCATTCATTGGGGATCAACTCATTCATAGGGGATCAATTCAATCATTGGGGATTAATTCATTAATATGTGATCAATTCGTTCATGGGTGATAAATTCAATTATGTGCGATCAATTCAATCATGTGTGATCAATTCTTTTATGGATGATCTATTCATTCATTGGTGATCAATTCAATCATGTGTTATCAATTCAATCGTGGGCGATGAATTCAATCCATTGGAGATCAATTCATTCATGCATGATCAATTCGTTCACAGGTGATCTATTCATTCATTGGTGATTAATTCAATCATGGATAATCAATTTATCTATAGTAGATCAATTTAATTATGGGGATAAATTTAATTATGGTAGATCAATTTAATTATGGTAGACCAATTCTTCTCTATCTTTAGGGCAGTGAAAAGGCTTGGCATCCTAGTAACATTTTTTTTCGCCCACTCACCTTGTCTTAAAACTTTCCAGTCCTGTTCAAAGATAGAAATGTACTCAGCGGTGTATTTGGTGACAGGGAAGCCATGATACTCTCCCTCTTGCCACCACAGCTCAACATTACCTATGACTGAGCTGGACCCGTTCTTGCCCTCTCTGGCGTGAACACCTGCAGGTTCCCCGGGGGGCCCTGGACAGATATGCACAAGGTCGTCATGTTGTATTGATTAATGTTAAATAGAGAAACATATTCTTGCGTGCCAAACCGCACACGGTTTTAGCTAAACGCAACTATACCTACAAAATATGTAAGACAAAGACAATGTGTACAAGTTTACATCATGGTTACCACATATCTTTACACATCTGCAGTCATTAACAACACATGGATTTCCACATTTTGAGCTGCACACTAGCTGGAATAACCCATGACAGTAATAAAAGCACTGGATGTGATGCTGCCACTGACAGCAGAGATGACACATCTGTGCACCAGCTGGACTTACCCCTGACAATAACAAAAGCACTGGACGTGATGCTGCCACTGACAGCAGACGTGACACAGCTGTACACCAGCTGGACTTACCCCTGACAGTAACATAAGCACTGGACGTGATGCTGCCACTGACAGTAGACACGACACAGGTGTACTCTCCCTCGTGTTCAAACTGTGCAGCTATGATGTACAGCTTTCCCGAATCTGGGCTGTTTGGCTGTAGAGGGTTTAATCATGTGGTTAAACATCACTGAATAGTTTCTTTTGGTCTCTTGCTTGCAATACACGAATACATTCTTTCATGCTCTTCATGTAAAGCCTATATTCTTTTATACAATACCATATGCATTTTTTTCAAGCAGTAACATGTTTAAATTCTTAGATTCAATGTCATGTGTATATTCTTACTTTCTGGCCGAATAATCTAAAAGGAGTCAATCCTAAGCTAGAGGGGTCGACTTCAATTCCCTCTTCAAAAGCAAACACATCACCCTTGGTGAATGGGACTTGTTAAACAGGGATGCCAACCCAACTAAGAGAACGCAAACTCTGAAATCAAACCCGGAGATGGAGTCTCGTAGGCGGTATGATAATTAAACAATGAAAATTCCGACACCTCCGGCGACTTAGAACGCATAAAGAGCACGGTGAAACACACAAGACACATTGGTCATCTATTGCATTCTGGTCTATTTCCAATCGTCTTGATTAAGTCTTGTCTTTGGGTCAAATAGAAAAGTACCCGTGAGAAAGTGAGGCTGACGAATTGAGCAACTCTCCTTAACAAAATACAGCTCAAGTCAAGGGTACTACTCAAGTACTAGTCAAGTAGAAAATTGCCAGGGTCATCTTCGCTTGCGAAGGACGAGCAAGAATAATATATATTATTACATGCAATACCATGGTTATATTCAACTCTCTAATAATGCTACATTAGCTTTTGCAGAATGAATATCCATGTATAAATTATTTCACATGACTTTGTGGCATACTTTCCTGGCTACAAACTCTTGTTCATTCTCACCTTTGTCAATATATATTTCCTCTCTAACTTTATATCATTATTTCGCCACATTATTGATCATCTAGTCACTAGCTCAACGCACCACCTCAACCCACTTTAAAACCGTCATTCGGCTCATTGCAATATCTTTCTTCGGCCCAATGCAATATCTTTCTTGTATTCATTGCAATGCCTTCCTTTACCCCATTGCATCCCCAGCTTAATCCTTTCTCAAAAAAAAATCTTTCTTCAACCATTCTCACCGTTACCCGATTTAACTGTCCCCCTTCTATAAATCCCATTACCCACCTTCAATCTTTTTTAATACATCCCTATATGCCATCCCCTAATGAACAGTAACAGAAAGACTGACCATTGACCAGTTCGACCTCGAAATACCATTGAAAAGTTGGATCCATACTAACCATGGAATAGTTTGACCACCAACTGACCATGGTATATTTTGACCACCTACTGTACTGACCATGGTATATTTTGACCACCTACTGAACTGACCATGGTATATTTTGACCACCTACTGTACTGACCATGGTATATTTTGACCACCTACTGTACTGACCATGGTATATTTTGACCACCTACTGTACTGACCATGGTATATTTTGACCACCTACTGTACTGACCATGGCATATTTTGACCACCTACTGTACTGACCATGGCATATTTTGACCACCTACTGACCATGGAATAGTTTGACCCCTACTGACTTTTGAATTGTGTTTGATCATTACTGACCATTGAATAGTGGACCCTGTCTTCACTCCTCCCGGTCAGATCAATGGCGTGCGAATAAAACTTCCACGAATACATGACGTCCATCTGGCCGTGGTCAAATGAGGCCTTGCAGGGCAACACGGCCGTCTCGTTCTGGCTTATCTGCAGATTGTTGGGGACTTCTGATATGACCATCCGACCTGGGCAGTGTTAAAAAAAAACAACAAATATTAGAAAGCGTCGTCCTCAAAATCTATCTGGATCAGACAGATGTACGACAGATGAGAGATTGAGGTAGATTTCTAGTGTAATGATTATAACCACACGTCGCAAGGATTATTAATTAAATGATTCAAAGTTTTAATTTGTTTAAATTAGAGAAATATATAAGTTTGAATGTTAAACTCTAAGACGGCCGCCTTTGAGATTTGGTTAAAAATCAGTTAAAATTAGCTTTACAGCAATTAATTTTAAAGTTAATTAAATTAATTTTTAATGGGGAAGGGGGAGCATTTCGAGTGGTAATGCAGGTGTTACCTAGAATGGTCAGTGTGCAGCTTGACCTCGCTTCTCCAAGGTCATTAGTGGCCACGCACGTGTAGGTCCCAGAATCTGCCTGGGAAAGAGCTGAAAGTTCAAGGTCGCCGTTGGGCTGCACGCGACCCACTTCTGCTCCATTTTTCATCCATTTTATCTGAGCCCTGGGAGCAGCCTGGGGTTTGCAGCTGATTGTAACATTGCCCCCATCGGCGCCAAGTTTGCTCGTCTCTACGGGACTTTTCTGGAACGTCGGCGCAAAGGCTGATTGAATAGTGAATCGTGTTTTAGGGAAAGGTAAACCATGTTTTAGGGAAAGGTAAAAACTGTTTTATGGAATTAGTAACCTTGATTTAGGGAATAGTAAACCATGTTTTAGGGGACTGTAAACCATGTTTAAGGGGACTGTAAACCATGTTTAAGGGGACCGTAAACCATGTTTAAGGGGACCGTAAACCATGTTTAAGGGGACCGTAAACCATGTTTAAGGGGACCGTAAACCATGTTTAAGGGGACCTTAAACCATGTTTAAGGGGACCTTAAACCATGTTTAAGGGGACCTTAAACCATGTTTAAGGGGACCTTAAACCATGTTTAAGGGGACCTTAAACCATGTTTAAGGGGACTGTAAACCATGTTTTAGGGGACTGTAAACCATGTTTTAGGGGACTGTAAACCATGTTTAAGGGGACTGTAAACCATGTTTAAGTGGACTGTAAACCATGTTTTAGGGGACTGTAAACCATGTTTAAGGGGACTGTAAACCATGTTTAAGGGGACTGTAAACCATGTTTTAGGGGACTGTGAACCATGTTTAAGGGGACTGTGAACCATGTTTAAGGGGACTGTGAACCATGTTTAAGGGGACTGTGAACCATGTTTAAGGGGACTGTGAACCATGTTTAAGGGGACTGTGAACCATGTTTAAGGGGACTGTAAACCATGTTTAAGGGGACTGTAAACCATGTTTAAGGGGACTGTAAACCATGTTTAAGGGGACTGTAAACCATGTTTAAGGGGACTGTAAACCATGTTTAAGGGGACTGTAAACCATGTTTTAGGGGACTGTAAACCATGTTTAAGGGGACTGTAAACCATGTTTAAGGGGACTGTAAACCATGTTTTAGGGGACTGTAAACCATGTTTAAGGGGACTGTAAACCATGTTTTAGGGGACTGTAAACCATGTTTTAGGGGACTGTAAACCATGTTTAAGGGGACTGTAAACCATGTTTAAGTGGACTGTAAACCATGTTTTAGGGAAAGGTAAAAAATGTTTTATGGAATTAGTAACCTTGATTTAGGGAATAGTAAACCATGTTTAATGGAATAGTAAACCATGTTTTAGGGGACTGTAAACCATGTTTAAGGGAATAGTATACATATTTTAGGGGACAGTAAACTATGCTTTAGGGAACATTGTAGTTACTATTCTAGTGTCTTATTTTTATTTTACTTTAGCAGTTTAATGAGTTTACATATTTTTAATAACTGTAAAGCGCTTAGAGCTGTAAGGTAAGCGCTATACAAAAATGCCTAAATAATAATAATAATTACAATAAACCATGTTTTAAGGAACAGTAAATCATGTTTTAGGGAACAGTAAACCATGTGTTTGGTGAAGCGTAAAACTTGTTTTAGGAAATAATAAAGCTTGTTTTAATAGAATCGATGAACTTGTTTTAGAAATTATCTCAATCTCTAGATAATTTCATCTTAGTTGCAAATATAAATTGTAACAATTCACTTTCGTTTTCCCAAATATAAAATTTCTGATAATGTGTAATGGACTGATTATTTTGTTTGCTAAAACAACTTCGAGGACCCCTTCAATAATTCAACTAGAACAGCGGTTTTCAACCTGTGAGTCCCCGACCCCCTTGGGGCTCGATCGACTCTTGCACAGTGTCGAGTAAGACCATCGGAAAACACATTTTTATTGAAGTAGCAAAGGAAATAATTTTATGGTGTGGGGGGGGGGGGGGGGGGTAACCACAACACGAGGATCTGTATTAAAGGGTCGCGGCATTAGGAAGGTTGAGAAACACTGAAATAAAAGTATTGGGAACCTTTCTAACACAATACAGATGTAACAGGCGTTACACTTCCCAGCATTTGATGCCATTTGAAGTCCAAGTAATTTAATCTAGTAGCACTAGACTCACAGAGAGTTCTGAGCTGTGCACTGGACCTGGCAAGACCATAAGAGTTGGTGGCCTCACATTGGTACATCCCATTATGCTTGCTGGTCTCGACCTTGTCAATGGTCAATATGTTCCTGTTGACCTAAAAGAGAAAAAAAAATAGAAGAAATAAACTTTGTGAAACTTCTAGAGAGATATTGTTGTAAGTGAATGATAGTGGGGTATTGATGTACGTAAATGACATAGAGAGCTGTTGTATGTTACAACGTTTAAACAGTTATGGTTTAAAAAAATAATTGCGGAGCAGAGTAATGTCTTTAATTGACTGCCAATTATAAAAATGGCCCAGAGAGGTCTACGACATGCAGCCGACTTCTGAAGTTCCCACCCCACAAAGCAATATCTTTAAAGTATGAGTGAAAGTGTGGGCACAGACATGAATTATGAACAACAAGACTGCAGTGAATGACAAACACAATTTATGTATGTGACATCAAGCTATATTTATTTAAGTTCTGAGAAATAAAGATTTCTACTGATAGCAAATACGATGTAGTCGGGCGAGTCTAAGAACATGTTACAGTTTTAAAATACATTTACCCATTGACCTTCAATTAATTTTTTTTTGTTCTTGTCATTGTTATACTGTGGACTTATTTTAACAAGAACAAATTGGAAGCCGGAAAGGATGGTGTGTGTGTGTGGGGGGGGGGTGACACCATGAGTTTACCGCACCGG